ATTGCCAGTAGCAGTAGATTTATGATTATTGACACCAAATTGCGAATTACTTAAAACCTTAATTTTCTGGAGAAACACAACAGTTCTATTGTAAAGCATACGCTCAACAGTACAAGCGAATGCAGATAAAATGGTAATAGGCAGATAATTTCCAGCCGATCAGGATCACCACCCTTGTAGATGGTTACAATCTTAGCAATTTGAAGAGTCTGAGGAAATTTACCAGTAACACATACTTTATCAACAGGTACATTTAAGAGTTCAATAACTTGACCAATACCAGATTTAATCACTGACGGTAAAACATTATCCCATACAGCAGAATAACTAGAGAATGCCTTAATGGCTGCGCATATTTTAGTTACAGTTGCAAGTGCAGGATAAATAGACTGAGCTATAGGAGTATCCTGACACTTAATGTCATTGGGAGTAACACCCTGCCTAAAAAACTGATCATTAAAAATATTAGCTATACCGTCAGATCAGTGACACAAGAACCAGTGTTATTACAAATTCATGCTTTCCTTAGTCTTACTCAGTTGTTTGTTAATGGATCCTCATATATAATCGGCAACTTAACGCCGAATTTATTGTAACCATAAAGTAGTACCTTTCCGTTCGTCTCGATTTTAGTAGGCATGTCTGACTTTTATTAATTTAGGATTTTGTACATATGTTGCATTGGCAGGTAGTTTTTATTAATATTTGTCATATACTCCTTATCGTTTTTGCATTTTTAACTTGAAATGTGTATTTAGGATATTTCGATTACGGCTGAAAATATAGGTAAAAGCAAGAGTCCTCAATAAATGAAGCAACACTTTCTAAAATCGCGAGAAAAATATATTCAATTAGCTTTATCAGTTTTATATTTAGTTTCGTTCTAAGTGCTTGCTGTGATCGGAAGTTGATTTTAATTACCACAAGGCGAGTTATGTATTAGAAAAACGTCAAGTCATTTGGGGATAAAAATTGGGAAATATTTTCTTTTCATGCATAATATGAATCTGAAAATGCGTGTTACTATGCTCAATTTGGAGTGTTCAACTCTTAATCTGCAAAAGAACAAAAAATAAAGATTGCCCCCCAAATAGCAGTTTATGATATTGTTTTTATGCGAATGACTTCTATTATCTGATAAAATTATGATGAGAATCTACTATGTACCCTAAAATTAGATACCGAACTACTCTAGTTATTTAACTTTATATTACGCTGGCATATACTAGAACTATTGACGATTACACCATGGTTTCCTTTTTTAGTTAGAATATGTCACTCTTGTTTCCGGATCATCCTGTATAGTACAACCAATCCGTAAAATAGTTGTAACAAGAGTTCATATATTGAAACCCCACAAGTACTTTAAATAATTAAATCTTGCAGTTTCGTCAGTATAGCCAACCTAAATACATTTTTGTCAGAATATGAACATTATATAAACGTCAATTGTGATATCGAATGTAGCTATTGGTATTTCTGATTAATGCACAAATATTGACAGTGCATTAATCACTTTACAAGCTTTTACAAGCGCCAAAAGGGAGTATATATTACTAGTTT